TTCTTCTTCTTCTTCTTCTTTTTGGGATTCTTATGTTGAATTGAAGTTTTATGCTCAAGACAGTGATAAAATACATTAATTGTAAATAATATTTATCTTATATGTCATGCCTTTTTTTATGTTAGCAAATAGATATGTGATGTATTGGAGATGTGGTGAGTTGGGAAATTTTTTACGATACCTGGCTATAATTGTTGTTAGAATTACCATGGCAGTTAAGTTATGAAATTGTTTGTTCAGCATGTGGCTGGCTGCTTGCCCCCTTTTTGGAATTTCGTATTAGAGCTTTAGGATTGTTGGCCCTTGGAAAACTATCTTCGTTAACTTCTTGGACCTTTTGGTGATCTGCATAATTTGTATCTTATTCACCATTAGATGTTGAATTTGCAAGGACGAACTTGGCCTGTAGGATGCAAACTAAGCCTTCTATTGCAATCGAAGGCATTAGATCTCTCAATGTAAGCTGAATGTTCATTTGGTTGGCTGATGAATTTTATGCATCTATTGTGGTTCAATCTTTTAGGAGGGGAGTAGTGTAACCTATATCATGTCAATAGAAAAAGATAGTCTTTATTTGGGTTTGTCATGAATGACATGTCAATTTCTGATATAAGAAACTTTTTATTCTTTTCCTTCTGTTGCCTCAACTTTGAGGAGAAGGGATATTCTTATCCTGACACTGCATTGCTGCTGATCTTAATATTAAACCAGTCATACTAGATTACTAGTTCTGAATCTTCTGATTGTCATGCCAAATCACAGTCATAATTCTTGGATTTGTTGTAGCATTAATTATGTTTTGGCCGGGATAGGTACCATTTCTTTTTGGTGTGCCTGCTTTTGAGAGAGTTGCTGGTTTTGTAATTCATTTGATATTCAGAAGAACAGGCCAGCACCTCTTTCTTGTAGATGATGATGAAGGAAAGCCTCCATTATTACGACGCATGCTAGAAGACAGCGAGGAATTACATTATATGTATTTTTTCTGTCCTCTTTCCTTACATTAATCAGATTTGATACTCTCCAGGCTATTTCAAGATATTCATATGCATGTAAAAGTATGTGTGATACGCTAGTGTTTATATCTTTTGCAACTCATTTATGCAGGTCTGCTTTGCGTTCGTTCGAACGCCGGGTGGCATATTCAAATGTTGGGTATGACCGTATCCTGATTTTTTGAGCCTTATTGTATTTGCATTTTTTAATGGGCTAAATAATGTTTACTATATATTTTACACTTGGTTAGTTTCTACCATCCTTGTCTTCCTTCACAAAATTTCACTTAGATATAGTTGGCTGGAGAACATCATCAATAAGACGTAATATTGAACTGCCCAAGGTATGTTATCACCATTCAATTAATTAAGCATTTACATTTTTATTGCAATTGCATGACTCTACTAATATTCTCTCTCTTAGTGGGAGGATTCTCTAGATGAAAAATATCCACATATCGTTTATGAAGAACACTGCAAAGCAAGTGATGGAGAGCAGTGCGAGTCTGTTTCGACAAGTGATGATGGTTTAGATGAGCTGGAAGGTCTGTAACTTAATTTCATGTTCTGCTTAATAATTATGTGTCTTTATGCTGCTCTTTAACATGTCTCTGCTGCTGCATTTGTTGGTTGCGTCTCTCTTTTCACCTGGTTATTTGGTGATCCCTACGTCCTAATGAAGATTTATTTGAACTTTAACTGCCACAATTAACTCATCTGGACTGTTCAAAGTGGTATTATAATTTATGCAGGAATGATTTTTTAGCCTTAAATATTAAGAAAATGATCAGCAATACTCTTACAAGTGGATTTTAGGATTTTAGCAGTACATTTAAAAGAGTCGTGAGTGTTTGATAAGCTATCCTAGGTGGACTTACTAGGTAAAGTCCACATTTTAGAAATTCTTTCAAATAAGTGAACTTCGTTGGCTTTCGATATTTCATTTCCTGCAAAATCCAAACAGAGTTATTTTTAACTTCAAAGTCTTCTAGAAATATAGGATCTCCAAGCGTTTAGCATGGTATGGAAACTATTTCTGCCAAGTCTATAATGTGAGCATTCTGTATGTTGAATATATAGTAACTAGTGTGGGAGGATTATTTTGGCTGCCTTCCGTTTTGTGCATGAGTTTACTTGCTTTAATCATTTAAGTAGCACGAGTTATGTTCTTGATGATTTCTCAATTATTCTTCATTTAATGAAATCATCAATTTAATGCTGTTAATATAGTTAGATTTCTCCTCGCCAAAGTTTATAGAATTTTTTTTTTCCCACATTCCCATAAAGAATTAAATGAAAAATGCAACTTGGAGCATGAAAACGGGCAACTCGAAGGACCTTAGTACCACCAGAATATCAATAGCAGTTATTTTGACAAGATTCCTAAACTTCGTGGTTAAAGCTTTACAAGATCTATTACGTTGTCTTCTATGATCTCTTCAGGATTTCTAGAAACAAGCAGCCTATGTGTACTTCGTTTGTCAACTTGTCTGTGCCAATCTCTTGCTCAACTTTGTTTCTTCTGCAGTGAATTTCTCATTTTGACCTTTGAAAATTTTTGTTGATTAACTCTAAATGGTGTAATAATTTTATGCTGGCTTATGTGATGCAGAGGAGCTGGTGATTGGCCTATCTCGCGTTACATGGGAAAAAGTGGATGTCAGCTTCCACAGGAGCAAGCTTAAATTTGCTGCACATAGTATTATTCAGGTATCTCTGCCCCTACCATCCTCCCTCCCTCCTGCTACGTTTCTACATGCTTGGATATGTTATCATTTGCATGAATGATACATGCATGTCCATTGTACACAGAATGCTATAGACCGCTTTCTCAGGAACAATGAGGCTGCAATCTCTTGCCAGAGATGGAATATTTTAACTCCATCTTCTACTATGATAGAAATTCCTTTTATGTACATCCACTAAGATATTAGTTCAATGACTAGTCATGCGTAGTGTTCTGGACCATATGGGAAAACAAGTCTTTACATATATAGCGCACAACATTTCCATCTTTGGGCGATGTGGAATTCTGCAATCCTTGCCCTCTGGTGGGCCAGCATTCTTGCTAGCACAACTCTGGACTAAGTACTAAAATCTGATATCATTCTGCAACGACCCATCAAACCTAAATGACGACGTAAGGTTTTAGGCCTTGTGATGACCCATCCCTATTCTGCTTCCACGTGGAAAAAGCCTCCATAGTATTGGCACAAGTCGTGCTTGTAGAATACACAAACATTTATGTATCCGGGCAAAGTGGGATTCTATAATTGTTGTAGCTCCATTAGTGATACTTTATGAGCATTACTGCATGAGCCATGGGGTCTCTAGTAGGATACTGTGTAGCATAGCGTTCACTTTGGGAGTTGGAAGTCCCATCTTGAAGTCTTGACTCTTCAGGTCTTATGCTTTACATTAGTTGATGTGTGCATTCCATATAATCTGTATTTCTTAATCTGAAGCACTGTCTTTATTTTTCACCTCGTATCATTACTGTTTCTTGTCGAGTATATAAACAAGAAGCTGATTCTTGGTCGCGTCTGAAAATTATTCAGGTAAAAGAGGATTACATGCAAACTGAAGGTGCAGATGTCATCCAACATATGATCGATCATTTTCTTCTTTAGGAGTGTCATCTCTGAGAATGCATGCCGACTAAGGTAATGCACGTGTATGGTAGCCTATTTTATGAAAACCTACCATCGTACGGGAATTCTTTATTCAGTATCACCCTGCGTGTAACCAAACACTTTGGACCACTTATTATAAATGAAAATATTTCATCGAAATAGATATAATTTCTTCATGGTCAGAAAAGGTCTTTCATCCATAATTTTGTATGATCTTGAGTACTCTTAGCTTCTTTACATCTAAAATGCTCTATTTGCGAACTTTATTGACCTTTGTCCAATTTTAATGTGCAACTATTACGGGAATGAGACAGAAGGATTTAGAACGACTTAAGGGGGTGTACTCAATTAAGATTGTTATAAATTTTAAAAAGCGTTCTAAATTTAGATGTCTTCAATTGAGATTTCAATGGATTTTAATAAAAACTCATTAAAATTTAGGTGTCCCCAATTGAGATTTTAATGAAATTTAATGAAATCTTTTAAAATTTATGTATCCTCAATATCTAATGAATTTATAAAGATTTCGCTGATAGAAGGATTTTAAATGATTTTGATGGATTTCAAGCTTAAAAATAAATATAATCAAATCTTTTGAAATTTCACCATATTTGATGAGATTTTTATAGAATTTGTTAG